TTTTTTTATTACGATGACATTAAACCGACCATTTCTTAGAGAATAATTACTAATTGCCGTATGTTCGATGCGCTCCTGGTTTCCTTGCGGCTAATTTGATCACTTTTATCTTCCTATCTCAATCTTCTTTTTTCAATCTCTTTCTCTATGGATTTCGCTTTTCTTGGTTTAAATGGATTTGCGGCTGCTGGACTTCCCATGCTTAATATGCTCAACATGGGCATGGGTTTGAGCGGCGTTAATTTGGGCATTAGCAATGTAATGGGGACTAAAGTATATGAGCAAAACGGTCCTGTCTATAACGGCCCTGGATCTAGGGTTGAAAACCAACCATTTATGTTGATAAAGCCGGATATACAACAGCGGGAGGCGATAGACAGAGCTAAAAAGTTTGCTATTGAGCAAAGTGTCAAATCGGCCTGGGAAAAGCAAGCGCGCCAGCAGCAACAACTTCAGGTTCAACATCAACAGCAACAGCAACAACAACTCTTGCAAGCACCTGCTATCAACAAAAAACAGCAGACACTGGCTCTATTAAGTCGTATATATGTTGGTTCAATAAGCTACGATCTCAAGGAAGATGCCATCCGTCAAGCTTTCGTCCCTTTTGGACCTATTAGATCGGTCAGCCTTAGTTGGGATCAGATGACACAGAAACACAAAGGTTTTGCTTTTATAGAGTATGAAAATCCTGAATCAGCTCAGCTGGCTGTCGAACAAATGAATGATTCAAGTCTTGGTGGTCGTCAGCTCAAGGTTGGTCGCCCAAGCAATCTTCCTAGAGCCGAACCAATGGTCGAAGAACTTGTAAGAGAACATAACCTTGAGAAAAGGATATACGTATCTGGCGTTCACGCTGATTTGTCAGATGAAGACCTTGGGTTGGTCTTTGAAGCTTTTGGGAAGATTATTTCCTGCAAGTGAGTCCTTGTCGGGTTTTCTAGTCATCATTGATAGTTGAGCATAAAGCTTTGTTCTTATGCTACCTTCAATTTGAATATGCTGTGTAAATTTTCATCTAGGTTAGCACCGGATCCCACTAAAGCGCAGAAACACAGAGGATTTGGTTATATTGAGTATGAGACGGAACAAGCTGCCAACGATGCAGTGGCTAGCATGAACTTGTTTGATCTTGGAGGTCAGCTTTTGAGGGTTGGAAAGGCGATGTCTCCCCCAGAAGGGGCCATATCCACTTCCAATATGTCCAATGTTCCTGTTGCTGCTGCTGTGGCTGCTGCCTCAGCCACGGCCAAAGTCATGGCACTAGGAAATAATATCAAGGCTAGAGTAAGCGCCTACACATGCGTAAATAATTAAATATGCCTTATTATATTTATTTCTTAACTTCCGGACGCTTTATTATCTTTACGGATGAAATATCTTTTCCCCCTTGCCATTTCTTGCTACCCTTGGTACTATCCCTTATAAACCGAGTACCGCCCTGGACGAGCCTAGTCCTGACCAGCATATCCGAAAAATTGTGAATGGTCAGCAACACTTGCACATCATAACAGCAGCCTCGGTGTCTTCGATTACGGACCATTTGCTTCTGCTTCGTAAAATCGTCCATCAACAATATTCATTAGCCCCCAGTCCGTTTGCCTTGTTGCTATTTGTCAAAATGCCATTTTATTGCTCTTGCTATTTCTACATGATCTTCCTATTTTATGGTACTATATTAAATTTTATACCCTCTGCAATCTCTTCCCTTGCATCCCACCTTTCCTTTGTATCTTCATCCCTCTTGCTTGTGTCTGTTTGATCGTCTAGTCCAGTTCTGTCTCACTTGCAATTGGAGGGCCTGGTTTGTTGACAAGCGGAATCATGGCAAAATTGTGCGAGGATAATTTCGAATTTTGCCGGACACAGATGGGTAATCATTATTAATTGTGTGATTAATAATGATAGCCAATTCTCCTACAGTGTGTCTTTGTGCACCTGTTGAATGTATTTACTAATGGTCCCTCTTGTATCTTCTAGTAGTTCACAAGGGTATATCCTATCAAGATGCGCATCTAAGGGCTTGCATAGTCCAGTATATTTATTTTTTCTTTATAGGTGTCCTTTTTATTTGCACCAGTCTTTTTACTTTTTTAGTCGGAGGGTCTAATGGCGGGTAACCTCATGGCCAGCCTAGGAATACCTGGCATAAGCTCTAATGGTAAATCTTTCTACCGTTTACAGAACCATTCAATCCTTTTACTCACTAACACTTAACTTACAGATACCTCCTCTTGGGATCAGGTTGAAGCACAAGAAGTATTGAATTCCAATAATGAATTGGCTTCAACCAGTTTTGACGATGATGGTGGCACTTTAGAGCATCAAGAAAACTTTATGATCAGAGGTCGTGATGCCAGAAGTGCAATAATGCAGAAGTTAATCCGGCCTCCTACTCAAGGGTGAACGATTCTTTTTCCAATGCTATCTATCTTATTTTATTTTAGTAACCCATGGATTTTGCATTTTAGAGTCTTAATTTTGCGTAATATGGTTGGTCCTGAGGACTGTGACGACGATCTCGAAGGAGAAGTTAAAGAAGAATGTTGTAAATATGGTCAAGTTGATCGAGTTGTTATTTATCAAGAGTTGGATGAAAATGGTAGCCTTATCATAAAAATCTTCGTAGTTTTCTCAGAGTCAGAATCGGTTGATAGAGCAGTCTCATCCCTTCATGGTCGCTATTTCGCAGGTCGTCAAGTTTCTGCCGAGTCTTATGACTTAGACAAATTTGACGCTAATGATCTCACCGGATAGCGGTGTTCATGGCTTTATTGGCTATTTAGCTTCTTACTATAATCCCATCATTGCATTTTTATATCAAATATTTTGAAAATGTGTACATATTATTTTGAATAAAATGCACATGATGTGCTGTGATTCCCATATCCTATTTTCACTCTCAGTAATTGGATGCGGACTCTGTTCAGCATATCAATAAAATCTTATTTACAGATCTTGGTATTAACCTTCATTTTAATTCTTACAAAACTAGTTTTCATAGGATCTCTAATCAAAATGAATCACAAAAAGACATTTGAAATAACTAGGCTGTTGGAAAAGTTAAAATGGCCTGGGAGATTCACTTGTGGATGGTGCATCATGTAAGTCCAGTCATAGCTAGCTTAGAGGCACTTGTTTTTACTCATTGGCCATTACGCTGTAGTGGCCTATGTCCACCTGCCATTCCATGCTTCGTTTTTGTTACATCCCGTACGTAGCCGTGGCTCAACATCCTTGAGCGCAGACATCACGTG